TGCAGCTGCCGCACCATTTAAAGGGCGCTGCTTTGCTTGCAACAGGCCGGGCCATCGCAAGAGCGAATGCCCAGAGGAGCTGAGGCGCCGAGGAGCAGAGCAGGGGAGGGAGTCTCAGAGGCAGGGAAACGCCAGCAGTCAGTAGAAGTTGGGCCAACTACTGACGAGACTGCCTGCTCGCCCAACCACACCGACCCTCACCGAGTCACAGTACCGATTCACGCCATCGATCGGGCTCGGATGAATAAGGAGGGTACAGCGACGGATTACCCGGTACTGATCTACGGGAAAATACATGGAGCAGCAGTGAAGATTTTGATTGACGGGGGAGCAAGTCACAGCTTAGTTAATACCGCAACCGCACGGAAATTACAGTTAACACTTAACCGATGCTTACCTGAGATAGATGCACGCTTAGTCGACGGAACACCACTAGCCATAAGGGAAAAGGTGGAGCGAGTAAAAGTCCGCTGTAGAGGAAACTTCGGGTTTACACAGGAAATGCTCGCAACGACACTGGATGGGCACGACATTTTACTGGGACGTGATTGGCTGCGACAGTATAACCCGCGAATTGACTGGACGACGGGTAGCTGCACAGTACGAAATAGTGGTAACTGGGTCGTCCTACCTCGCTGGCAGCCACCCGAGACTTCGACGGTCCAGGTCAACGCCATCACGATGAAACGGGTTGTCGCTGCTGGAGCTGACATGTACGCAGTGGATATAGCATTAGTGCAAGAAGAGGAGCTGCCGAGCGATTTTCAGAAACTATTGGCAGCTGTACCACCCGAACTTCAGGCACTACTGAAACGATTCCCGGGTATCTTTCCGGATGACTTACCACAAGGGCTGCCACCTCAGCGGGCGCATGACCATAGGATCGAGTTAGAACCGGGGGCACAGCCAACTGTACAGCGCCAGTTCAGACTGACACAGCCCGAGCTCGACGAACTAAGGAAGCAGTTAGATTATCTGTTAGAGAAGCAGTTTATCCGACCGAGCTCGTCACCGTTCGCCGCTTCGATACTGTTCACACCGAAAAAAGACGGAGGGTTTCGCATGTGCATCGACTACCAAGCGCTTAACAGGGTAATAGTCAAATCACGGTACCCCATCCCCCGCGCCGACGAACTGATCGACCAGTTACAAACCGCACGGTATTTTCGAAAATAGACTTACGAGGAGGTTACCATCAAATTCGGGTCGAACCATCGAACTGCGCCAAGACAGCATTTAGAACTAGGTACGGGTCATTCGAGTATACGGTGATGCCTTTCGGGCTGACCAACGCGCCCGCCACATTTCAAATGACCATGAACGAGGCGTTTAGGCCACTTTTAGATAAATGCGTGATAGTTTACCTTGACGACATTCTCGTTTACAGTCGGGACAAGCAGCAGCACTTAGTCAATCTCGAAGCAGTTTTTAAAATTTTAGCGGAACATCGGTTACTCACCAAGGGCTCCAAGTGCGAGTTTTTTCGGGACAGGTTAGAATTTTTAGGACACGTTATTTCGGAGGCTGGAGTTGAAATCGACCCTAAGAAGCTGGATACTGTCAACGCGTGGCGTCCCCCGACGAACATCACGGAACTGCAGAGTTTTTTAGGGTTCGTTAATTACGTCCGTCGGTTCGTCCCCGACATGGCACGCCTAACAGCCCCACTCACAGATTTACTGCGTAAGGGGGTCGTTTTTGCGTGGGGGGAGAAAGAGCATGCCGCCTTCTCTGCCCTGAAAACTGTTCTCTGTTCACCACCCGTCCTACGCATCGCTGACCCACATCGCCCCTTCGAGGTTGTTACAGACGCGAGCGACATCGCCATCGGAGCCGTACTGTTACAGGACTTCGGCAACGGCCTCCAACCCATCGCCTACGAATCACGCAAACTGCATCCGCCTGAGCGAAATTACCCGATACACGACCGCGAAATGCTCGCGATCATGCATGCATTCAAAGTGTGGCGCTGCTACTTGACCGGCGCAGACGTGACAGTACGGACAGACCATCGATCCCTACAGTACCTCCGTGCACAGCCCCACCTCAACCCACGACAGATTCGGTGGCTCGACTTCCTCGAGTCGAACTTCCATTATACGGTCACCTATAAAAAAGGAGCCTCCAATATCGCCGACGCACTGACCCGCCCCACTGCCCAGATCCATGCGATACTACTCGCCCAGACCAGTCCGCTACTGACAGGACTATTTACCCACGGATATCAAACAGACCCATTCTTCACAGGAGGAAATTCGCAGCAATTCGCAGCAGCCAAGGGAGTCTATTACGGAAAAGCTGGAACCGACCGCATATGGGTACCAGGGTACACACTACTACGGGAATTACTGTTACAGGAGGCACACGACGGAGTTACCTCGGGACATTTCGGAGTAGAGAAAACACGGCAGCAGCTGCAGCGGTACTATTACTGGCCTGAAATGTTGACCGGCGTGCAACGACACGTGGCATCGTGTCCCACTTGCCAGCTCATGAAGTCAACCAAGAAGCGGCCGGCGGGACAATTACAACCAATCCCACCTCCAGAGCGTGCTTGGCAACAAGTGACGATGGACTTCGTCACGGGGTTACCAGCCGGGGCGAGTGGGAATGACGCGATCCTGGTCGTCGTCGATCGACTGACGAAAATGGCACACTTCGCAGCCTGCAAGAAAACAGTCACAGCCGAGGAAACAGCCCGACTCTTCATCACCACCGTCGTTCGACTGCACGGGATACCAGCATTGATCATCAGCGACAGAGACACGAAGTTTACCAGCAATTTCTGGCGGAACCTGTGGCAGTAGTTCGGCACGCGACTACAATTCAGTTCATCGTATCACCCCGAAACCGACGGACAGACAGAACGGACAAACCAGACCATGGAGCAGCTCATTAGGGCCACGTGCAACGACCCAAACACGTGGGAGCAACAGCTGCCACTCATCGAATTCGCATACAACAACGCGCCATCTGCCACGACCCAACAGTCGCCGTTTTACCTGAATTACGGACAAGACCCCACAGTACCCATGACCCCAAATCCCGACAACCCCATTCCACGTGCGCAACAATTTGCCGAGATTTTGCAAGCAGCACGGACCAGGGCAGCAGAAGCAATCAAAAAATCGAACATCATCGCTAAACGCAACGCCGACCGCCACCGCAGACCTGTCACTTATCAGCCCGACGACCTCGTTTTACTCGACACTCAAAACCTCCGCCTGCCCATCACTCCAAAACTCCGCCCCCGATACTGTGGGCCATTTCGAATTAGCCAAATGATCACACCTGTCACCGCGCACCTCCTCCTCCCTGCTGACTGGTACGTCAGCCCCTCGTTCCACGTCAGCTTGCTTCGCCCTTATGTACCATCCACCGGCCAACTCCCACGACACCGACCATCCAGCATGGCACGACCACCATCCGAACCAATCATCACCCCCGACAAAATCCTGAGTCACAGAGTTCGCGACCCCCGAGGAGCCCGAAAGATCGAGTTCCTGATCCGCTGGAAAGACCGTACACCTACCGAGGACAACTGGGTTCCCCTGGACATAATTGAAAACCACCCTGTCCTCACCGAATATCTGCGCAGCCGAAACTTCAAAGATGTCCACACACTTTCGTAAGAAGGACCTCCTTAGGAGGGGGGGGTAGTGTAAGGAAAATCCCTTTTCCTTACCTCGCATCCCTGCTCAACGCGTACATCACTGTAGCACCTCAGTCAGCACCGTTTCCACTCGCGATCATCGCATCGACAATCATCCCGCCATTTTTCGCACATCGCATCCCGACCTCACGGCTCGGCTGGTAACCCGCGCTCCGGGCCTACGCCTCGACACTTTCCCAACCTCAGTCCCAGGCTCTTCGCACGACTACCACAGACCATTGCCGTTACCACTGTAGTTTCGCTATATATTCTTCGCTCATGCCCTCCTGTTACGAGTGCAATTGAGTGAACGAACGAGAATTGCACTATCGAAGCAAGAGTACAATTGAGCGAAGGCATGAGCGAAGGATTATATAGCGAAGCAATAGTGGTAACGGTAATGGACTGTGGTTGTCGCGCGACGAGCCTGGGACTGAGGTTGGGAAAGTGTCGAAGCGTAGGCCCGGAGCGCGGGTTACCAGCCGAGCCGTGAGGTCGGGATGCGATGTGCGAAAAGGGCGGGATGATGAATGATGCGATGGTCGCGAGTGGTAACGGTGCTGACTGAGGTGCTACAGTGATGTACGCGTTGAGCAGGGACGCGAAGTAAGGAAAAGGGAATTTCCTTACACCTCCTCATTGTATTCTTGCTTCGATAGTGCAATCCTCGTTCGTTCACTCAATTGCACTCGTAACACATAGGCATTACAAATTCTGACCGCTCTTCCTCTGTCAATCTGCGGGTTGACTCGCTTGACGGCGTTAAAAAACACCGCTCGGGGACTGAAACGCCTTCCTGACGGATTCCGTCAACTCTCCGCTCTTGTCAGTCTCTTCATTGACTCAGAAGCTCTGGAGAAGCTTCCAGCCGGCTTCGCGACGGATATCGACAAAATTGTAAAGACTTCCATCCCATTAATCGATTCGAGCATCTCAGATTCGAATGCAGCAGATGCATCGGAGATTGTCGCTCGTCGGAACAGTAGCGTACTGCCTCAGGATAATAACTCGTCGCTGGTTACTTCGCTCGCCTCCATCTCCCCCGCGCTTCCCCTCCCCACACTCTCCGCCCTCCGCCACCTCTTCCTCGACCGCTGCCGCGCTCCCCGCATCCCTCCCCGCCGCACTCCCCCTTCTTGAAACCCCAGAGCTGCGCGAATGCGCCTGAGTGGTGGTGTTGGTGGGGGTGGTGGTGGTGGGGGAATGGCGGCAGCGGCATCCGTGGCAGCAGCAGCAGCACCACCACCACCCCCACCAACACCACCACTCAGGCGCCCCTCCCCCTCCTGCCATCGCTCACCTGCCTGCGCGCCTCTCACTGCGCGCGCCTCACCGCGCTGACTCGCGCATGGATGCACCTGCGTCACTACAGGAGCTGATCCTGAACGATAATGGCCAAATGGAGTCACTCTTTGACGGGGATAACTCTACCCATCATGACACCGTTCACTGTGACACTCTGCAGTCTGACACTGCTCCTCCATTCCCCCCTCCTCTCCCCTCTTTGCATTCCCTCACTGTCTCCAACTGCCCTCGTATCTCCCGCCTCCCTGCCTTCCTCTCCTGCTCCCCCTCTCTCCTCCACTTGAAGCTGCACGACCTCTCTGATCTCACTCTCCTCCCATTTCACAATCCCTCCAATGCTGATGTAACGGGTGTGGCTTTAACGGGTACAGATGAGGTAACTGGCGCTGTTGTAACCACCACGGCCGCTGTTACCAGTCCTGGTTTTGTCCCCGGCGTAGACGTTGCACAGGGCAGTGCTGGCGCGGCTGCTGCTGCTGCTGCTGCTGCTGGGTTGAGAGCGTTTGGAGAGTCAGAGGTGATGAGACCATCAGTGTCGCTTCACATTGACTTGAAGGACAACACGCACATCACACGCCTCCCTCACTCACTCTTATACCCCCCCTACCTCGCCACCCTCACTCTCTCAAACCTCTCACATGTCGCCTACATCCCCCACTCCCTCTCCCTCCTCGCTCCCTCCCTCACTCACTTGCACATCAGCCACTGCCCCAGGAGAAGAGGTGGAGGAGGAGGGAAGTGGAGAAGGGGAGGGGGAGAGGGGATGGGAGGGAAAGGATGGGGAACGGGATGAAGAGGGGGAGGGAAAGGGGGAAGTGGGAGAGGGGGAAGTGGGAAAAGGGGAAGTGGGCGAGGTGGGGAATGTGGAAGATAGGAAGCAGTGTCATGGCATGGCTGCCATGTACTCGTTAAAAGTACTCTCAGTCTCGGACTGTGAATCACTGACACACCTGCCGTCAAGCATCCGCCTGCTACCTCATCTCACCTCACTCCACCTGTCTCAACTCAACAGCCTCGTCACGCTACCACCCTCTCTTCCCTTAGCCCCCTCCCTCACCTCCCTCACTCTCTCCTCCTGTGATCGCCTCTCGTCCCTCCCCCCAACCTTTGGCCTCTTGTCTGGCCTCCAGACGTTGCAACTTTCTAGCCTGCCAGGTCTCGCTTCCCTGCCTGATTCTTTTGGGCTGCTACCCAGCCTAGAGCAATTTACCCTGCACGACTGCTGCCTGCTGCGCTGCCTGCCTGACTCGTTCCCGCACCTCTCTAGATTGGCTCAGCTCAGCATAACGGACTGTGGAAAACTCGAGCAGTTACCAGCCAATGCAGGGTTACTCTCATCTTTGGAATGGTTAGAGCTGGAGAGGCTGCCAAAAAATTCCAAGCTGCCCGAGTCGATGAGCCAGCTGCCCAGGCTTTGGCAAGTGGAGATCCGGGAATGCAAGGTTGTGAAAGGCGTTCCAGAGTGGTTAAGGGCGATGCCGGAGGTGGACCTTGTTGTAACATAAGTGGTGAGCTGATTGATTTGGGTTATATGGGGGAATGGAGTCCCTATATATGCTATATGTTCCAAACCAATCGGGAAAACTGTTTGCTGCTTGTCGTCCACCTTCCCATGTACGGTGCGGCAGTGCTTAGCATTATTGCATTATTTCTTGGCTTTTTGCATCTATTGTACCACCTGGTACCACTATTTAATTTCAGCCATTGATGTTTGCCACTCCATTTTCTCTTTAACAGTACCGCTATTTTTGCTTCAATAGTTCCACCATTACAACGCTCTCTTTCTAGTTGCAATTCTAGTCAGCTCACTCCGTTGCCTCAAATATATGAAACAGAAGTGCATGGCTCTGACGATGTAGGGGGTAGTACAGTAGGGAGTATGAAATCGAAAAATTTCCCTCCGCCACTCGCTACAGATGCATTCTTGAAGAATTCTTGATTTGACGAATTCAATACCACGTCGATTCTATGGCTTCCGCTCATCGTCTCGGCCCTCCGAGGACTATTATCAGCATCATGTCGCCCTTAGCCTCGTGTACCTCGTCGGCATTGCCGGCTCGGCAATTCCCGCGGTTCGACTCCAGCGCTTGCCGCCAACGACAACGGTCTAATCGTTTTGGTAATGGCGCGGTGCACTGTGGCTCTGATGGTGCTCGTACTCTAGGAACCCGAGTAGGTTCAAATTCATTGAATCTAGACGGCTTGAAGGTACAGCGAGTGCGCTTACGAGGCACGGGGAAATGTGAAAACGGCGCGCGGAAATTGCGCAACAATCTGCATCAGAGCTTGCGAAATGTCGAAACTCCCCGCCAGAGGTCGCGCACCAGCTGTGCGGCGGAAGGGGAAGGGGGAGGGGGAGCTGTTGCAGCAGTGGAGACTGCGCAGACTGCAAGGAAGGGCGGGGGAGTGAGCAGGCGCGCAACGGAAACTATCACCGCGAGTAAAGTTTCCGCCGAGGGGGACACCGCGCGCGCATTCGGTCCGCGGAGAAGCAGAGGCGGAGGAGGCGGGAGTGGGGAAGACGGAGAGGCGGAAATTGGCGAAGAAATCAGCGCAACCTCCCCCCTTTCCCCCATTATCGCGGTTGACGAGTTCTTCTCCCTCCCCTCACTCGCGCTCCCCCCCGCTCCCCCGGGACGCGCGCTTGAGTCCCTAGTGTTCATGCTGGCGGAAGCGGGAAAGGCGGAGGATGAGGAGGAGTGGGGGGAAGAGGCGGAAGATTGGGGTGAGATCAACTGGGGGGAAGAAGGGGAGTGGAACGCGGGGGGAGAGGGGCAGGGGCAGCGGGAAGGGCGCGGAATCGAGGTTTTTTGGGCCTCAGACGTTAGAAGCGTGCGGGGGGGCGATGAAACGCCTCCCCCCGCCCCTTATTCCGCCCCCTCTTCCCCCTCGCCCCCCTCGCCCCCCACTTCCGCCTCTTCCGCCCCTCTCCCTCTCCCTCCCCCCCATCTGGTCCTCTCGCACCTTCGCTCCGCATCCCTTGCGCCGTGCGTGCTCCTCCCCGCCGCCCCTGCCCTTCCTGGTCCGGGGGAAGGGGAGGAAGGGGGAAGCGGAGGGGAGGAAGGGGTAGGCGGAGGGGCGGATGGGAGAAGCGCGCGAGCAGAGAGGGAGGCGCAAGGGTCGGGGGCAGCGCAGGTTCGGGTGGTGGCTGGGCGGTTTAGGGACGTGTGCACTCCTCCGCCCCTCACACACTTTGTCAGTCCCGCTCCTGCTCCCTCACCCCCTTTCTAAAACTGAGTTATGAGACGTCTCAAAACCCCTTTCTCAAAACTCGGTTTAGGGACATGTTTACCCATCCGCCGCTCTCACACTTTGTCAGTCTTGCTCTCGCTTTCTCACTCGCTCTCTCTGTTTGTTTCTCCGTTTCACTTCATTGTGTCCTTCTCCTTGTCACTCCCGGAGTCCTTATGTCACTTTATTTCTTCAATCCCCACAATCACTATTCGTCCCTCCCATCCCACACATCACTCCGCCCCTCGCTTACAACTTCCTCTCTCTCACACTTTCTCTCCCTCTTTTCCTTCCTGTCAATCCTTCCTCTTTCCTCTTTTCCTTCCTGAAACTCTTGCCCTTCAATCAAACGTCCCCGCCATCCCAACCTTCCTCAACCCCTTTCCAACCCCGTCAACTCCTAACCGTTCTCCTTTCACAACCTCAGTCCCCTTATCTCCTTCGCCCTGTTTCTCCTTCCCTTTCCCCACCCGTCTCTACCCTCTCCGCTTACTCCCTCCCGTTCCACCCAGTGTTCCTCCCTGCCTTACTCCCTCCCTTCCCCCTTCCCTCCCCCCCACCCTCCAGTTCATGCTGCTTGTGCACATGCGGCCAGGGACAGCTGGCAACATCCCATTGGTCCCCCTTACTCCCTACTAATCCCTCCAATCCTCCTCCCCGCCTTAACCCCTCCCCTCCCCCTCCCCCTCCCCGCCTTCCCTTCCCCCCCCACCCCCACCATCCCCCAGCTCATGCTGCACGTGTACATGCGGCCAGGGACAGCTGTCAACATCCCATTGGACCGCACTCAGTCCGCCCTCATATACGTGCTCGAGGTGGGGTGTCCTGCATTCGTATTATTGAGATTGAGAGGATATTGGGGTGCTCTGAATAGTATTAGTCGGGATTGAGAGTTCATTGGGCTGCCCGGACTGGATCATACATGCCAGATTCACAAGTAGTCATGTTTCGCCTGCTTTTCTGTCTTGAGAGTTTCACTTTTCTGTGCTCGTATTCCGTTTTTGCGTCGTGTCTCTGTCTGTGTGTGGCTCGTGCCACTTCTCTTTGTCGTTATTATCTCTGTCTGCGTTGTAATAACTGATTCTTGTTCTCCCTTGTCAATCCTGCTCACGTCCCCATACTTTCTTCTTTCCTGCTGCTTGAACTTACTTACTGCCATCCCATCCCCACTTCCCCCACAGCCTCCCCGCGTCAATCTCAATGCCAACTTTCCTGCCGCCCGCCTGCTGCCCCGCCCCGCCCAGGCATCTGCACTACTCGCGCACTGCTTGGTGTGTTTTGAGTCGACTCAAAACACACTTGACCCTACCACTACCTACAACCCCCCCCTGCATTCATTGCAATGCCAGCTGTCCTGCTGATCATCTGCTGCCCCACCCACCCATTCCCACAACCCCCTTGTTTCCCACTCAAAGGTCGTGACTCTGTTTGGTCCGTGAGGAGAGGCCATGCTTCAGAATGGATGGCCACATCTGAGACTTTTTCTAGAGTAACTTGAGTGTGTCTGTCCGTGCCGTCTGGCTATCTGGCTGTTATGCGTAATCTCCATTTGACTCCGCTGTCCGGCGTCCGCCCCACCAACATCTAACTTCCACCACCACCTCATTCCCACCACCACCCATTCCAAAACACAGGGCGTGGCGATGTTTGGTCCGAGAGGAGAAGCCGTGTTTCAAAACGAGGGGCACTCCCTGCTCTTCCCTGCAGCACCAAGTGGCGCGTCTTCTGTCACGTCAGACGCTGTGTCAGAGCTGGATAAGGAAACACATTCCACAGTGGGTGGTGCAGCAGGCGTGGGAGCAAGGGGGGATG